ATATATATATATATATATATATATATATATATATATATATATATATATATATATATGTATGTATATGTATGTGAGAAGAAAAGCAACAAACAAAAGAAAGAAAACAACAAAAATAATAAAAACAAAAAAAACACACAACATATTAAAAAGAGAAAAAAGAAAGAAACAAGAAAAAAAAAGAAAAAAGAATAATAAAGAAGAGACAAAAAGAAGCAGAGACAGAAAAAGAAGAGCGAGAAAAAGAAAAAACAAAAAGAAAAAAGAAAAAAACAAATAAAAAAAAGAAAAAAAAAGAAAAAAAGAAAAAAAAAGAAAAAAAAAGAAAGAAGAGAAAGAGGAGACAAAAAGAAAAAAACAAAAAGAAGGAAAGGAGATACCAAATAAAAAGAGAAAAAAATAAAAAATAAAAAAAAAAAAAATATAATGAGAGACAAAATAATAACCAGAGACAATAAAAATAAATTTCTTCCATCACAAGGGTTTAGGGTTTAGGGTTTAGGGTTTAGGGTTTAGGGTTTAGGGTTTAGGGTTTACTCTTTGTGAGACCTCCCATCCCTCCACCTCGGGGGCTTCTAATATCTGCTGAAAGAGAGAGAGCTCCTTATCCTCATCTGTAAACCACCACAAGGGTTTAGGGTTTAGGGTTTAGGGTTTAGGGTTTAGGGTTTAGGGTTTGGGGTTTGCATGTGTAACACATTGGGATGAGGGTTTAGGGGGTTGGCTGCCTCCTGCGGTTTCGTTTTTTTTTCTCTGCGTTAGTCTAGGGTTTAGGGTTTAGGGTTTAGGGTTTTAGAGACGTTGAGGTTCTGATTCTCTTCGTAGGGTTTAGGGTTTAGGGTTTAGGGTTTAGGGTTTAGGGTTTAGGGTTTACTCGCGAGACAATTTCTGCTGTGTGTCCCCCACAAACCGGGTAAACCCCCCAACCCCTAAACCCTAAACCCTAAACCCTAAACCCTAAACCCTAAACCCTTATTTTATTTACCTTTTTTAAGAGGTAAAGTAATGATGATGAGATCAGTTTGTGGGAGAAGAGAACAAGAAGGTGTTTCGGTGGTTGTTGTGGTGGTGGTTGTTGTTGTTGTTGTAGTTTTATTTTCTTCTTTATCTATATTTATATTATTTTTATTATTATTATTTATATTTATATTGTTGTTTATATATATTTCTTTAGATAATACACAAACCCTACTACCAAAACGTTGACCCAAAGAAGATAATAAAAAAGAAGAAAAAGAAAAATCAAAAAAAGAAACAAAACTGCGAGGGCTTCGTAATATAAATACCACTTCAGCTGTACATACACCCCAAAACACACACACACAAAAGAAACAAAAAAAAATAATTTATTATTTTTTTTTTTATTTTTTTTTTATGCATATATATAAATATCACTTCAGCTGTACATACACCCCAAACAAAACACAAAAAATAAAATAAAATAATAAATATAAACTACATGTAAACATCAAAGGGACTGTATACACAAATTAGATGCATATACACCCCAAACAAACACAAAAAAAAAGCTGCATATACACCCCAAAAAAACACAAAAAAAAGCTGCATATACACCCCAAGAAAACACAAAAAAAAGCTGCATATACACCCCAAATAAACACAAAAAAAGCTGCATATACACCCCAAATAAACGCAAAAAAAAGCTGCATATACACCCGAAATAAGCTGCATATACACCCGAAATAAACACCTAAATAAGGAGATGCATATACACCCCAAACCAAAAAAAAGAAAACACAAACGGAAAAAATAAATAACAAGATACAACAAACAAAAGAAAAACATGTAAACCCTAAACCCTAAACCCTAAACCCTAAACCCTAAACCCTAAACACTTCAGTGTGAGTGAGAGAAATTCATACAAACAAGAAAATGAATAAACACTTTTCTATGTTTTCCATATACAATATAAAACTTTTTTCAAGCAGAAGACGGCATACGAGATACATCGGTGACTGGAGTTCAGACGTGTGCTCTTCCGATCTTTTAGGGTTTAGGGTTTAGGGTTTAGGGTTTTAGGTATAGGGTTTAGGGTTTAGGTTTTAGGGTCTAGGGTTTTAGGGTTTAGGGTTTAGGGTTTAGGGTTTAGGGTTTAGGGTTTAGGGTTTAGGGTTTAGGGTTTAGGGCTTGGGTTTAGGGTTTAGGGTTTAGGGTTTAGGGTTTAGGGTTTAGGGTTTAGGGTTTAGGGTTTAGGGTTTTACGTTTTTCTTCAGGATAATTTAATCTGAATTCATTAACAGCTTTGCTCATAAGCTTTGCCTGTTCTTCTAT